GGAAGCAGTTGATGTTCCAGCTTTGCATCATATTAAGGACTGTATAGTATTCCCTGCTAAAGGAAAAAGACCTCATCCTGATGAAATGGCAGGTGAGTGATCATGCATTTTTAATGAGAAAGTTTTTTTTAATTAATGAAGTTTTACTGATTCTAGAACAAGTTATTTATGGAACAGATGAAATAATTGTTTATATTATGTTCAAAATTTTTACTTCATATTTTTAAATCTATTTCAAATAATAATTTTTTTAAAGGATTGAAGAAACTATTTTTAAGATAAAAAATATTCTAATTATATTAAAATTTTTTATTTTAATCTTAAAATTATGCTCCTTAAATTTGTATTGCTTGTTTTAATGCTTTGTTTGACATGAGTGTAATCAATTCAAAGCAAGAGGCATATAATGCTATTTTTCTACAAAATTATATTATTGTAATAAAACTGTAGAAAGGTATTGGATTTTTTGTTGATATGAATACCTTAATAGGCAGAAACAACATGTAATTTTAATGAAAAATTGCTTGAATGAAAGTTATATTTCTTGGAGCCAATGCAATGAAAATGATAGCAAAATTGAATAGACTAGTATTATAAAATTAACAATATTATTTGCCTAATGATAATAAAATAATTCATGTAAAACATTCTTGCTTTTTTAAATTGGTAGTAACAGGATATATTTTGATTTGTGTAAAAGCAATGAATATAAAACTTTTCCTGGCAGAAAATTGTAAATGTCTTGGAAGTCTCGTAAATTTGTTCAATCTCAGTTATGATGTGTTGAGGCCTTATGTTTGCTGTACACTATAAAAATAATTGCTATTTAATTTTATGATTTTATAATCTTTTAGACATTGTTTTATTTTCTTGTTTGCTTTTCTGTCTTATAGAGTGAAATGTGGTTAAAAAGGTTTATTTCTTACGAAGTTTTTCTATCATTGCAAAGATATCTAATTACTGTGTGCATATTTACATACAGTGGCTCCTAAAAGTGTTCATGCACATAAAAAATCTGTAAAAAAAATGTTGTAGTCGGAAATTGAATTAAAATATAAAGTCCAATATTTTTTTGTAACATCTTCATGGAATTCTGAATAAAATTTTAAAAATAAATTTTTTTTAAAAAATGTGACCTCATTTTCTGTAAAAAAATTTAAATGCTTGGATGCAGAGTATGAATATGCCACATAAGTATGTAACATATTTGAGATCAATTATATACATGAGTATGTGGTCACTTTGTATGGATTGTCATAGTTTTTGCAATATTGAATTCTTCCATTGTACATTAAGAGTTGCATTTTAATTACTACATATTATCTAATTTTATCTTTTCTTCACATGTAATTTGTATTTCTAAAATTTATTTTTTTTATTATTATTTAAGGCTAATACTTATTCTCTATATAATTTAAACTGATTTTGTGCCATATTTAGGTTCTGATTTGGATGGAGACGAATATGTGGTGATATGGTATGATCCTTTGATATTTCCCAATGAAAATTGTTCTCCAATGGATTATCCACCTAATCCTGAGAAGAAGCATAAAGGGCCAATAGAGGTAAGATATACTTTTAATTCGTACCTTTAAGGAGAAGTGTATCAATATTTAATTTTTTTATTGTAGAGTATGATTTTTTTGTATACTTTATTAGAAAAAAAGCATTGTTTTTATTGTAGAAGTAAGAAAAGGTATTTTTTCTATCACAGTTTACTAGAAAAACTCATATTATGATAAATATTATAATATTATATATTTATTATAATTCTATAAAAAAGCTTGAATCTCTTAATTTATATTTTTTATCATTTAATGTTTAAAATATTTTTATAGAAAAAAAAATTGTATCAGGTGTGTTATAACAAACTAATTAATAATAATTTTTACTGTACATGTAGTGAATTGAATCAAAATTATTTTTAAAAAAAATATTTTTAAATACAAATTTGCATTTTTACTTTAAAGAATTTATGAAATATTAATATTTTTATGTATAAAAGTCTGTGCTTATGAGAGAGAGTGTAACCTTGTTTCCTTCTACGCACTGCAAGAGTGCCCCTCATTATGTTTAGGAGAAATGGTTAGTAAGCCTTGAGACTCTCACCTGAGAGGAAGTACAGCGCAACCGGCCCTGCCGCTGAGAAACGTCTATTACAGCACAGTCATGTGCTTCTGAAGAGAAACGTTTAGTTTCTAATCTCATATCAAAAGGAAATATATGTAATGCAACCTGAGTATACTGGCCCACAGACTCTCATCCGGAGAGGAAGTATATTTCGCGCATCCAATGCGTATCCGAGTATCTTTATTTTCGGTTTTAAAATGGAACCTTTCCACAAATCTATAAAAATGTTTTAAATATTGTACGTACGTGTCTAAATAAAGCTGTGGGTTCCGAAACCTGTATCTTTACATAACCACATCCAGCTGCACAACCGAAAACACTATATATTATATTATTACTATATATATAGTATATTATTTTTATAATCTACATATAGTGTTTAAAATTTCTAAGGAATGACAAAAAATAACATTGTTTTATTGGGATTTTATATTATGAGAAATTTTATTTGGATTTAATGATTTTTCTAAATATATTATGTAAAAACACTTAAATTGTCTCATCTCTTCATGTTACAGCATAAAATTTTTGTCAAAATCAAATGTTTAATGCCATAAGCAACATTTGATAAATGCAATAAAGTAGATATTCTGCAACTTTGAATTTTTTTTATTTTAAATTAATAAACAGTGTAATTTTTTGTTGTCTTGCAGGTTTCTGATATGATAGACTTTTTGTGTGAATATATTCGAAATGACAACATCGGAGTAATGGCAAATGCTCATCTAGCATGGGCTGATGTTCATGAAGAAGGAATTTTTTCTAAAGTTTGTATGAATATTGCTAAAAAGTATCCTTTAGCCCTTGATTTTGCTAAATCAGGACATACCTGCTACTTGACCTCTGATGAAAAACCAAAGTTATATCCTGATTTTATGGAAAAAGGGGCTGCCAACAATAGTTACAAGTCAAAGAATGCTTTGGGTTATCTTTACAGAGTTGTGAGGAACTTAGAAGCATGTGTCAGCAAAGTAGACATTGTAAATATGAAGCGTGAAGTAGATGAACACCTTATCTATGCAGGCTGGGAGGATTATGAGAAATCTGCAGAACACCACAGATTAGAGTATACAAAGAGGGTGAAAAATATATTAAAAAAGTATGGTTTACGTAGTGAAGCTGAAGTTCTTACTGGATATATTGGGAAAATGAATGAGTACACTTTAAATCGTTATGAGAGAGACAATGCTATCTCTATAGCTAGAACTTATATTTTAGATGCTATTAAGCGTTTCAGAATGGAATTTCATAAAGCTTTTGATGATGAGTGTCGTGCAAATGATGTAAAAAGAGCCGATTTACAAGAAATTAAATATCGCAGGGCTTCTGCTTGGTATGTTGTTACTTATAGAAACAATGATGCTCCCATGCTCAGTTTTCCATGGATTCTTCATGATATGTTATGTGAAATAAGAATGAAGAATCTTAAATTGAAAGGATTGCCTTGTTCTATACCAAAAAGTGTTTTCATAGACTCTTCTGACAGAAAATTGTTGCAAGGGTCCTACCAATATCAATCTTTAGTTAAACAGAATTGCTATTGTGTATTAATATTGTTTAAATATGTTGAAGATTGGATGACAAAATCAACTCTGAATTTAGCCATGTCTGCGGGGGATTCTTTCTGCCAGATTTGCTTTCATCGAATCATTTATGAATTTTTGAAAACTCTTGACCCTCAATGTTGTTCTTTTGGAAAAAACTGCTACTGCACTAATTCTTGTTCACCAACCAGATTAATTTTAAAATTCTTGAAATTTTATGCCACTGAATTATGTCCTGATGTTGGCTGTTGTAAAGGATATAAGCTCTCTGGCAACTGCAAAGGCTTCAGAGAACTTACCTTGCAATCAATAGCCCTAAGGACATATGCTTCATTGGCTATAACAAATGATACCCACTACTTAGGATTAAAGGAAAACGAAGAAGCTACATTGGATGATAATTCGTTTGAAGAGGGGGATCCCATTCGTGTGTCTGTTACAGAAGATTTTGAAGCTTTGTTAAAAAGCTATCACAAAGATGTTCTATCACTTCTTAAAAAACTATCTGGTGTAAAAGACATATTTATAAGTGCTGAGAGTGATTTTAGAAATAATTGGTTTTTACTGGTGCAGTCCCTAGGTAAGGAATGGCAGAGATTGAATTTGGAAGAATTGATGATGGATGAAGATATAACAACAATGATAAAATCTAGGCTAAAAAACAATTAATTCAAAAAGTTATTTTGCCTTCATGCAATGTATAAATTACAATCTTCAGGTGGATTTTAATTAAACATTATTTTTATTTAAAAGAGTAGGTGAAATTATATGAAATATTTAAAAATTTAGTTTTCAAAAAAAAAAAAAAAAAAAAAAATGTTGTATGACAAAGATTAAACAAATTTTATCATATGCAAAGTGTTATTCCAACTGAAAGTTCTTAAGTATAGCACATAGTGTGGATTTTAATATTATTTTCAATGGCAGCATGGTGGGCTAAGTAATTCTGGCAGATTTTGATTTGTTTTTTTTTCCTGCTTACGTAACTCGAACCTGAAACCTGTGGCACCAGAGCGCTAGTAACACTGCCATCCTGCCCCTTTAATATTATCCTTATTAAGTTAAAAACATAATTATTCTTAATAAATGCACTATTTAAAACAGCTGAACAGGCACTTTTCATAGCATTTATTATTATAATTTTATTTTATTTTTTGGTAAAAGTTTTTTCAACAAAATGGAATAATCTGAAAACAGTTCTCGTCTTGGACAAAGGAAATATTTTAGTAAGTTAAAATTTAATTTTATCTATAAAAAATATAATCAAATTTAAAAAATGTGCTTTGCATTTAACTAAATACAATATAAATACTCCATTGTAGTTTTATCTCGTTAGATCACCGAAGTCAAGCATCATTGGGCGCGGTCAGTACTTGGGTGGGTGACCACCTGGGAACACCGTGTGCCGTTGGCATTCACAAATTTAGGACCTGAATGGCCGAGTGTCTAGCGCTCTGGCGCTCGGTGTCCCAGGTTTCGGGTTCGAATCCCGGCGGTGCCATGGATGTTTGTAGTGGTTCGGAAGCCACTTTAAGCCGTAGGTCCCGGTCTCTTATGACTGTAAGAGCGTTACGGAGCAGAAGTCAGACTTCTACCTACGGGTGCTCCATCAGAGGTTTCCATCACGATAATGCGCCAGCTCACACTGCACTGCTTCGTGACTTTTTTGCCAAAAATGAAACCCATATCATTCCACAACCACCGTATTCGTATAATTTAGCACTGTGCGACTTCTGGCTATTCCTTTAAACTCAAAAGACCACTTCGGGGACACCGTTTTGAGTGGATTGAAAAGATTCGACATGAATCGGCGCGCTCTTTGAAGGCCATCCCGGCCAACGATTTTTTTAGCGTGTATTGAGGATAACGTTGGTATAAGTGCATTGTGTCCGGACGGGATTACTTTGAAGGCAATTTGAAATAAATTTGTAAGAATAAGTGAAGAGTTTTTGAAAAAAATAAAAATTGGTCTTACTATTTGGGTACAGTAGTAATCTGCAAATCATAGGCATGAAATTATGGTATCCATGTTCATGATAAGCTTTTAAAAAAGGACAAGGAATATTTATTGATTATTCTGATGTTAACAATGCAGGAATTTCAATGTTCTTCTTAAAACTGCTTAATCAGCTTGTGGACTTGGTCCAGATGTTGCTGTCTGCCAAGCAGGGACAAAGTCTAATCTACTGCACATATTTTTAACGCATATTCTATTAGTGTTAATCTATTTGTGTTATCTTTTTTTTGCAAATTTTATTTTGAAATCTTAAAATACACTAATTGATATTTGTCAATTATAGAATTGAATTATTATAAATTGTTTATACATGTAAAGATAGAAATGTTTTTATATGTGTTTTAAAATTAATGACACATATTAAAATATTGCAGCAATATTAACTAGGAGGACTGTTCAGAGTCTTTCAAAAAGGATTTTATAAATAAAAGACCCAGAAAATTTATTCAAAAAAATTAGCATGATAATATTTAATGTTACCTAGTTATTACAATTCATAAAGTTTTTACATACCATACCATGCTGAATATACCGGTTCTCGTTAGATCACTGAAGTCAAGCATCATTGGGCGCTGTCAATACTTGGGTGGGGGACCACCTGGGAACACCGCGTGCTGTTGGCATTCACAAATTTGGGACCTGAATGGCCGAGTGTCTGGCGCTCGGTGCCACAGGTTTCGGGTTCGAATCCCGGCGGTGCAATGGATGTTTGTAGTGGTTCGGAATCCACTTTAAGCCGTAGGTCCCGGTCTCTTATGATTGTAAGAGCGTTACCCTACGGGTGCTCCATCAGAACAGAAGCTGCACCCCTCCTTCCGTGAGGGACATGACGACAACAACAACAAAACATTTCATAAATTCAACTTATATACTCATGAAGTGTTATAGAAAGAGAAGTTATAGAAACATCTTATTCAATTATTTCTTCCCAAATTATATGTGCTATTTTATATCACTTCTGCAAATGATGATTTATTTTTGATAATTGACAAAAAAAAAAAAAAAAAAATAATAATAATAATAAGATAGAATTAATTGTTCCTTAATCAACTTTCATTAAAAAATCTAGAATTTTCTTGGTCATGTATGAAATCCACCGATCAAGAAAAAGGACTTGTTGAATTATCCAGTATGAAATAGGTGCTATTTAATTCTCCCATTGGTTGATTTCATTATTGTAACCTATGGGAACCTTTGACAACTTTTTGATTTGTACCGTGACATGGCGTAAGCCTACCATTTTTTATATTACAAATTGTATTTTACATTTCTCATTGTTATTACTAATGTGTTATCAGTTTATTTTTGTATTTTTATAACAATAAATTTTATGTATTTAGAATGTGAGTTGTTTTCTCTGACGTTATGTTTGGTTTCACATACATGTAATTAAAAAGGCAGAGTAATTCTTTCCATTTTTGTCAAAAGCAGGAATTTCTGAAATCTTTTTTTAAAAAAAAATAAAGAATGAAATCTAAGTTTGGAACAGAAGGTTTAAATTAAATCAAAAGTTACTAATTTGTGATGTTTTTTTGCAAAATTATTCCTCAAGAATCAGAATTCTTAACAAGTCGAAAGCCTATTTTACTGCTCCTTTGCTGCATGATTCCCCTTGTTTTCAACTTGCAATTTCATCCAACTTGCCACCATACCTCTGCAAAATAATAATGGTTCAAATCAGTGTGATTCGTATAAATGGTGCAAATCATTACTTTAGTATGTGTGATATGATTCATTTACTTAATAATGATTCGCATCCAGGGCCGGATTTTCCTATAGGCTAACTAGGCTTCAACCTAGGGCCTCAAGGTCAAGAGGGGCCTACATTCAAATTGTTAGCAAAATTAGAATGACACTATTCTAAAAACAGTAAACACTGAATCAAAAATAAGGCGAAATTCTACACATATAAATAATAAACAAACATAATAAGCCTAGGGCCTCTTTTCATCTAAATCCGGCCCTGTTTCGCATCCAATAACTTGGGTACAATAGCAAATGGTTTTCAGTTCAGCTGCATAAAACTCAACCATATTAGTTCGTATGGTACCCAGAATACGGTTCGATACTGTTCAGTGCTGTATGGTACTGAAAATATGAATTCTGTATTGCTATATGTACAAATAACAAATACTAACATTGATTTTCACTATGATACACCTTCTTATTGTATACCTTAATTGTTGTAGCTTAGTCGAGGGACATTAAGTGATATTGTAGGATTGTAATGCATTTATCAAATAACAAACACTACATTAAATTTTATTTCTTTTTATTCTATTATATATTTAATTTAAAAAGAAAATTAGAATTAGGATGACATTTTAAAACTTTTGAAAATGAAATTTTAAAATTCATTTAAATAATAAGTATATTTGTAAAAATATTTTACATTATTTTCAAAGTCAGGGCCTGAATGGCCGAGTGGCTAGCGCTCGGTACCACAGGTTTCGGGTTCGAGTCCAGGTGGTGCCATGGATATTTGTGGTGGTTCGGAATCCACTTTAAACCGTAGGTCCCGGTCTAATATGATCGTAGAGCGTTGCGGGGCCATTCCGCGTCCGTGGCTTATCTTCAAGTTACACGCGCCCCTTGGGTAATGTGAAGTGAGTAAAGTCTGTGCAGCGCTTGCCTTAAGGCATCCAAGACCAAGCTGTCTAAGTGTTTGCCAGCTGCGTTAGAAAGAAAGAAAAAAAAATTTTTTTTCAATGTCAAGTAATTTTTCTTTATCCTTAACAAGGGTTCAAATTTTTAGAAATATTTAATATTGAATATTTTTTTATACAGAAAAATTATATCGATTTCTTGAGATAAGAATATATTTTGTTGAACTAATCTTGAATTTGTGCCGAGTGATGTGAAAGATCCCATTACTGGCATTGGGAAGCACAGCCAAGCATAACAGCATATTACCTAATGCCGCTAAGCTAAGCTGTGTTTGAGTGGAGTAATGTATTCAGAATGGGCTGGGTGGCTAGCGCTCTGGCGCTCGGTACCACAGGTTTCGGGTTCGAGTCCCAGTGGTGCCATGGATGTTTGTAGTGGTTCGGAATCCACTTTAAACCGTAGGTCCCGGTCTAACATGAGCGTGGCGGGGGTATTGTTACTCCGCGTCTCTAGCTTCTCTCTAAGCTACTCTCACCACCTGCTAAGTGAGTAACGTCAGTGCAGCGCTTGCCTTAAGGCATTGTCTTAAGTGTTTGCCAGCTGCATTGGAACAAAAAAAAAAAATGTATTCAAGATGAAAACCCAGTTGAACTAGTTCATCTATGATGATGAAGGTGCCAGATCTGAGGTAAAGTCCTCTAATAACAACTTTGAGTTGTTTATCATGAGGTAACTCGTATGTTATGTATGGTAATCGTATGTGTGAGACCCAATTTTCAGTTCGTCTAACTTCTTTTTTACTGTCGATATTCGTGCGCAGTTGTAAGAAAAACTTTTCTGACTGATGCATTTCCTGTATTGCTATATTCCGCATCCGGTTATTTTCTCGTATGCTCCACGTTCAGTGACAACTTCCGGCTTGCTGTTCGCTCTCAAATTATTTGCATCCTCAGCTACTCCTTTTTATTTTATATTTTCTATTAATATTTTTATTTCTGTATTATTATTATTATTAATATTTTTTTTCAGTTAATTTAAACGATTTCTTCAATCACATTATTCCTGTAAGTCTTTTATACTTGCTTTTTGTTAATTTGCTTCAGTTGGATGAGCCCTTGGGGCCTGAATGGCCGAGTGGCTAGCGCTCTGGCGCTCAGTACGACAGGTTTCGGGTTCAAGTCCCGGAGGGGCCATGGATGTGTGTAGTGGTTCGGAATCCACTTTAAGCCGTAGGTCCCGGTATGCTATGACTGTTGAGCGTTGGGCGAAGAGCTGACAACCCTACTCCGTAAAAAGAAAAATATCTCTCGTCTCGAAATCTACCAGTAAGTAGATGGCCTTGGCCCACACTGGGCTGTTGCGCCAATGATGATGAGATGAGCGCTTAGGGACTCAATTGCCTCTTATCCAAATGTTGTTCTAATGTAGCTGGAAAACACTTAGACGCCTTAAGGCAAGCGCTGCACCGACGTTACTCACTTAGCACTACCCAGGAGATGCGTTTAGCTTGAAGATAAGCTACGGACGCGGAGTAACAATACCTCGGCAACGCTCTACGGTCATGTTAGACCGGGACCTACGGTTTATACTGAATTCCGAACCACTACAAACATCCATGGCACCGCCGGGACTCAAACCCGAAATCTGTGGTAGCCACTCGACCATTCAGGCCGTCTTATCCAAATGTAGTAGAGAGTTTTTATCCCGGGTCGAAATGAAAGTGTTTCGGCTGCGGAAAGCTACTAAAATATTGTTAGAAGGCGTTTTTTGGCATTATTAGCTTTCA